CCCTCAAGTGAGTCCACGGCACCACTCAGTTGGGACCTATAAAAGCACTGCCTTAGGCAACCTGTGTACATATTCTTCCATCAAAGACTGTGACCCTCGAAGGACTCGGTGATGCTCCCACACACTTCCAGGCATGGGCACGCAAGTCCCAAAGCGAAGAGGATCAAACCTGCTACAGCAGTGCTTGGCTTTTCCACTTGTAAGGTTGGCTGTGGCCCCTTCCTGCAGCAAACCCCACGTGCAGCAGCGCTCCTCAGCGCATCCCATCAAAATAACACTTCAGGTTCCCATCTCTGCCACAGTTACTGACCATTTGTAAATTCAGGCAGTGACCTCGAGAGCTGCACTTGCTGCAGTAGGTTGGAGAATGGAGGGAAATGGGTGGGGATGGAAGCACTTGAATGAACAAAAGGCAGAAGAGCTCTAAGAGTGGCACCCAGATGAGCTAGCCATCCAGGTCACACCACACCCACGTGCAGTTTCTCCAGTGCTTGGACCGGGAAACAACAGACAGAATGAAAGAAGGGAAAACATAAAAAAGACATTTCAGTTGTCCAGGAAATTCTCAGAGGTAGTGGCAAGATAGAACGCTCTTACTATAAACAGAGGAATCTTCTTGCAAAACTGGGGTCGGTCCATAGACAGGACTTAACCACGGGTATTTCACATATTCACTGAAGTAAGGTGTATAGGAAAGGCACCTAGGATGTCTTCTAAGGTATGACTTTAAAATACACAAGCATCTTCCGATTAGCTCAGTCAGTTGAGCGTGGCGCTACCAACGCCAAGGTTGCGGGTTCAATTCCCGTTTGGTCCCCATGTGTTGCCTGCTCTAGTCAAGAGGTGGCATTCCTGGTGACAGGAGCCTGGATTAAAATGATCTCTGAGGTCCCTTCCAGTCTGAGCCATTCTAGGATTCTAATTGTCCTCTTTGGAAATAATACCAGTTTTAGGGGGCCGGTTAGCTCAGTGGTTTGAGCACGGTGCTGACAACAAGGACCAACACCGAGGTCGCGGGTTCGATTCCCGCTCGGTCCCCATCTGTTGCCTGGTCTAGTCGAGAGGTGGCGTCCCTGCCCATGACAGGGAGGTTGGACTAGATGATCTCTAAGGTCCCTTCCAGCCTAGGCCATTCTATGATTCTATGATTCTACCACGTATGGCTTTCAAGACCTGGGCATGGGAAGTACAATCTGTTCTTGTTTGCAGGCACACTGAGGAACAAAGGTACGCTCCAGGTCACACCAGTATTTTGCAGTAAAGTGAGGCATGAATTCATGTGTCCTAACTCATGGTCTTGCCTCTTAACCATCATGTTGTGCCTTCTGCAGACACAGGATCCATTTCTTCAAGCCTTCCCCAAAAGTTTCCACAAAGCAGGATGTCTACTCTAACCAAGGGTACAATGTTTGCAGTCCCTGCCATGCTCACTACTAATGTTCTTAAAGTCATTTCATGTATCCCAGCTACTACTGTCATGCTCTCTAATACCAGGTGGCTTCCAAGACATTTTACAAGAAAGGAATGGTCTTCAGCTGAGTCATTCTCTTGTCAAACAGACAGTCTGGGGTATTTTTGCTGACTCTCTCTGATGTCAGACTAAGTCCTGTTATCTCTAAAGCAGGAATATAAAGAGAAGTCTAATGTTTCTGCAAGACAGCAGGGACTGCTGACATGGACATCTGTGTTATCTGAGGGCTTTGGGACAGGAAGAACAGCTGTGTGTCAGCTATTCTGTAGTCACTGCTCAGGCACATACTCATACATGCATACATTACATGTATATATAGCACACCAACAGGCAGTAGTGAATTCTGTCAGCCCCTTGCTTATGTGCAACGCTTCAACATAACAAACATGGACGTTGGAGTGATGGGACCATGTCTGGGCTTGGTACTTGGTATGCCTAGAACAGTGTTAGTTCACTCTGAATTCAGCCCTCTAGATGTGATACAGTCTGGCTGACAGGTCACACACGAGACAGCTCTGACAGATCAGTTCGCCCCTCTCTGCATTCTGACTACATACAGAACTGTGCCCACACAAAACAGAACGAGACTATGACCACATCTGTCACTTGATCTGATTAAAAGTGAGAGCAAAGTTCTTCCACATGGCACAATGCCACTGCCCAGGAGTGAAATCACCCTCTGGAGGTGTCTCTCCGTATCGTCCGTGGGTGGAGAAGGGGCCCATGAGCAGGCTCCTAGATGAGCGATATCTGTGAAATCACTAAGTGACATGGGACAGACAGAGGTCGTGTATACAAGAGCTCACACAGGCATCAGGATGAAACCACTGTGCACCAACAGTAGCTATTTTAGTTCACCTGTAAAGAGAATTTATTCCACAGATGATGTTGAAACAAATAAGCAGAGAAGTCTGTGAGCTCTGATTCTCAGAATTTGTAAAGAGCTTAGCAGATACTCTTTTGGAAAGAAGAGACAAGGTATTTCTAACATATTCCAAAACCAAAGCAAACTGGAAGGGGCAGCAATCTACACAGGCTTGAAACACAGTGAATGTTTGCACAGACCTCAACACACACAAGCTGAAACCGCTAAATTCCAAACTTGTCAGCATATGTTTCACAAGCTACCAAGTGCAACACGCCTGCAATTTTCTGTGGCTTCTCGTCACGGCAGCCGAGTTGCACGATCTTTGGTGGTACTTGGGAATCCCAGAAGCCATCTGGAACCCGCTCCTTGGGATAACCCTCTGTCTCAATTTTTGAGATCTAATCTGCAAAGCTACCTCTAATTAAATGTCTTAGATTTGGGCTTGCAAAGATTTCTTTAACTTGGCTTGAAATAAATTTTTGTAACTAAATCCTCAGGAATGGATCTTATTCCCACCATGATGTTTCTTCCCTTTGTTCTTTGAGAATTTGCAAAAAAACCATTGCCCGTCAGACAGGCTTGTTCTCCAAACCAATGCTTGTCAGACATTCTTCATGTCATAAATAGCTGTCAGATCTTGGGCTCTGCTTCTAGAAGTGTTTTCTACGGGTTTTGTTTCTCGGTAGTCTCCACCAGTGATAAAGTTCTGGAACTACAACTGTCAAGTGTTGTAACAGCTACTGGACACTTTAGAAGAAGCATGAGTGAGCCTAAGTCAAACTGGATAACCATTAGAAGTCACATTTATGCTTAGATAACATGAGAGAGAGAGGCTGTATCACCACATGGAGGCTCTGATGACGATAGTGACCCCTGCCCGCTACTGTGCATGCTTATCCCCTCTTTTTGCACTTTCATTAGCTCCCCTCACTGAAATCCCACCATGGCTCTGCAGCCCCCAGGTCAGAGCTTTTCAGCTCGAGTTGCAAGGACCCACACTGGCTCCCTTTCGTGCTCAAGTCCCGTCCTCGGTTATCAGCCAGGAATAGTAACCACCAAACGATGATACTGTTTTCTCTCTTAAGTGCCGAGAGACTCCACAGCATGTCTGTGTCCTGTGAATTCTGGTGTGTGCTGCCTGCAACGTCTGTTTCTATATATTCCTGCCAACTGCATGACTTCATTCAACTGTGTGGAATTCCAGACAACACAACACTGAAAATAACGCTGGCACTTACCTGAGCTGCCAGTGCCTTCCGATGCACTTCTGGATGGTTTTGGCTGGCTCTGTTTGCTACTTGTTCGTACAGTGACTGAAGGAGGAACAGTGCTGCTGCTGTCTCCTCGAATCGTCGAGAGATCCTGCATGCTAAAGCTCCTTAGTCTCTCAGACAGGGCCCCCTGTCCCTAGTTAAACAAGGAAGCAAATAACACATAGAAAAGTTAGAATTTGAGCCTTTCTTTTCCTTTACTCATTGAAATCCATCAGGACAATAGGAAGAGAAAAAATTGCCTGTTTCAATAACCTGGAGAGGACAAAAATGAGTTGTTAAAAGTGTCATTTCCCTCTCTTTGCTCTTTCTTTTGGAGCAGTTCTACACTCAAAGACAGTCAAACTCTTGACGGTGAGCAGCTCTGATTCCTCAAAGCAGTCATCTGAAGTTCAGAGCAGCCTTGGCCACATCGAAAGGAGGAGGGTGTTGTATCTAGAAAGATACAAGCAGGTCCTTTTCTTAACTAGGATCTGAGTCAAACAGGTGCTTGGCTTCAGAAACACAGTTAAATGGTCTGCATCAAAATAACTCATTTTTAAAGTTAACCAACTCTGATGATATTCACTCAGCCGTTCTCAGTCATAGACAGAACTTCCAGAGTGCAGAAAACAGGAAGTTTTAAAGTAATAAAATGCTACTGTTAAATGCAAGGAAATATCCCAGTGCTTTTTTCACACAGCTTAAGGAAGAAATAAACTAACACAATGCATTTCTTCCTTTTTAGACTAGGTCTCAATCAGGCAACAAATATATTCCTTGGGGAAAGAAATTTAACTGTTCTTTGTAAAGGATGCGTTAGCTAAAAGACACCTTTTATTAAAGCTATATCTCATCAAAAAGTTGATAAGAAGTATACCTCTTTCTGAATTCTGTAACCCTCATACTCCAACCACTGCCATAAAGTAAAAATGCCAGAAAATACAAGCAATACAGAACTTATCTGTCCTTCTGTGCTGGCTACATGAAGTGACATTCAGAATAGAAACAGCATGACTGATCAAAAGTACATTTAAGTTTTAACATTTTGGGGGGTGAGGAAAGTCTGAAAGATACTTCATAGCACAGTCTCGAAAAAACCACTGAAATACATAAAGCATGATTCTAAAATTATTTCTGCTAGTGCAAACTAGGAAAAATTCAATGAATGCTTCTAGGGAGGTGAAATCAGAAAGATGGCAAACCACAGTGAATATTGCCCTGTTTAACAAAACAGACTGCGCACATTGTGGCAGTTCACACACCAATTTCCTTTAGACTTGTTATTTGCCAAAGCAGTGCCCAAGGATGAGCATAGCCTGAACGCTGCCAGAGGGCTCTAGGCTGAGGCTGGACCAGAACACATCACTCCTCCCTTCCTGGCTGCAGGTTTGAGCATCCTACTCCCAAAACCAGGGTGCAGGTGGGGGGCGAGTGGTCAGCACGCTCTGGTGCTGGCCTGGCACGGGGACCATCTCCGATCCAGGGCAAGGCTGGACACACTCCTTGCTAACGCACGAGGTGCCCTAGTGCACAGGCCCTGCTACACTGGGAAGGCAATGCCTGAACTTACCTCTAAGTACTGATTTACCAATATCACTTCAGGAATTTTGCATGCAGAGTAACGGAAAATCAGTGCCTCTACCCCATATAAATTCCTTAGCACATTGCTTTTAGGGACTGTCAAGAGACGAGGCACCAGGGGCTTGTAACTGCAGTCACTGGGGCAGTCTGCACTTTCGACCTCCAAGAGAACTGTTAGATCAGTAATCTCCCAACTTTCCAGCCTGGAGCTTTTTGTACAAGCAAAACTGGTTCAAATTTCCTTCTCAACCCCCCAGCTTATCAATTTAATCACAGGCAGGCTAGACATCCTGGGCTACAGCACTTTTCTGCAGCAGCAAGACAGAAACAGTGCATGTTGGATAACTTCTTCAATGCCTCCCAAAGCATCATCACTGGAAAAATATGCGTCATCTAAGAAAAATAAAACCAATCTGTCCTTTGTAGGGCAGAGTCACCTGGTGGAGCTAGTCAGGAAGCTGCACTGTGTTTTCTTAATTTGATTTTACTGAATCTTTGGTTTCTTAGGATCTCTCTTTGTAGACCATATTTGACAGGATTTTGCATTTAGCTTTTCTGCAGACTATTACAGAAAAGTGTCCATACACCCACCATGCTCTTCTTATTCTGCTCTCTTCCATTAGCCTGTTTAACATTTCAAAGTATTTTAAAAGGATGGGGCTTTTTTGCTTGTATACCAAGACATTCTATTTTGCTGATTTTATATGCTTGTCAGCAGAGTCCCAAGAACTTCTGCTTTGTTAAAATCTCACCTCTGCCATCTCACTCTTCGACTTGCCACAAGAGTTGCTGCCTGAACTTTGGCTGCTCCTGCCAGTGGCTGAGTGACTCTTGCGACATGTTCTCCTTCTAGGAAACATCTCAAGTTATTCCTCTTTGGCCAGACTAAGGTAATGTTTACTTTGCAGTCTGTGGTTATTACTGCGCTGACGTACCAAAATTTCCCTGTGTGGCTGGTGAGCTGGGTCTGATCTCGGCCGCCCAGAGCTCAGGGCAGTGCAGTTCTGGGTGAGTTTTGTAGCTTGCACCCAATTCCTGCACAGCCATGCTATTCTCAGCAGCTGATTTAAAGCTACCACACAACATCCTCCCTTGCAGTCTGACTACAACAGGCAGACCTCTAGCAAGAGCAAGCTGAGAGCAATCAGACGGCTAAATGCTGTTTTGCTGTTGCAGAACGACTGGAGCAGCAAAGCCAGAGGGTTAGCGATTGGTGAGCTGCTGTAACCCGAGTGCTGGATCCCTCCCGAAGTGCCAGCTCAAGTGTCGGCAGCGCTCGGGCTTCTAAACCTCCTCCCAGCTGCTCTGCTCAAGCAGCTAACCCACATACCTCTTCAGGGAGTGATTTATGGATGTGGACATTAGTCAGATTAGAGACAAGATTCACACGTCAGAGCAACCCGGCACGCAAGACAACACCAACATACCCTTTGGCATTGAAAATAAAGAAAATATGTTAATATTCTTGCATTACAACTTGTCATATATCAGCATATAACGATCAAAGGCCCCAGAGAGAGCTTTGAAAGAAGGGCTTGATAAGTGCCTGTCATCTGAGGGTCTGTGACGTTAGCATACAACACACAACACAGTCCTGGCAGCTGTGTTAAATAACTTTGACTTTCTCCAAGAAAAAAAAATTAAAATTGTCTTTTCTTGATTTTTACTCTAATTTAAACTGATTTTATAACAGCACAGACGAACGTTGCTCATCACATAGGTAACAGGAAAGTATTACTGTTCCTATCATTCCCTAAAACAGTCTGTCCAAAACTCAGGAATGGCAGGAATAGCAAAGGCTTAGGAAGATTGAGGACACTGAACACCTGTGAAAGCCTCTGACTTCCCTTTCTTTTCTTTCTTTTTTTTTCCATCTTTGGTCCTTGTAGGAATAGACTTGATTTTATTGCTCCTAGGGCACAACATAACACTCCCAGTTCTTTCCTAGCTGCCCCATTTCTACCTGATCTCAAATAGAAACATGGCAGAAATTATGATTACAACAGAACCAGGATGGTTTCAAAGTACAACGGAAAATGCTGTTACCAATCTTAATTTCCCTGTCGGATAAGCCACTGCTATACATGAAATCACAAACATTTGAAAAGCCAGCACTGTGAAGGTTCGCACTGCTGTAGTTTCATGTTTTAACAATAAAGACTTTATCCAGCTGTAACGCTGATTATTCCACAATAAGGCTTATAATTTCTTAACAACAGAAAAAACAAGTTAACAGCTTTATTTCACAACGGGTTCAGCGCCGCACACATCTTGGGCCATGCCTGATTAAACAGTCACGTGGAAGATGAGGAGCAGCTGTTTGGGAATTTTTGTTTACCGTCTTGGCCATGATCACACAGATGCTCTTCCAACTGCTACAGACACAGGAGATGTCCTAAGAATTTCAGCACACCGTGCGTCGGTCTGCAGAAAGAGAAGATCCAGGTCCTGAAGCTACGTCTGCCCTGCAGGCCAGAGGCACGCCTGCAGCATGTCCACACGGATCTGGGCTAGTTTTATCCTAGCAAGCATGACACCGGTAATATCATGATAGTAGCAGTGGCAACAGCATTTCACTGTGTTAACAGCAAACCAGCATGTTGGTATTGTCCAACGTTTTGAAAATGAGAACTGGAAAGGCCGTGGGACTGCGGATGACACCAGTTCTCTTCCTTTTCCCTCCCTGAACACCAACTGACTTGTCAGGATGATTGTGCTGACACTGTGGGACCTGTATTTTGGAGACTTCATTCCCTGGTAGAGGACACGAGCGTGAACTGGTGCTGGAAGACAGAGCCTTACTCTCCCTGGGCACAAGACTACTTACCTAGACTCAACTTCCACCTCATACAGCTTCTTCTAGAGCACAGATTATCCCCGTAAGCACGGCACTTCCCATCCAGTACGCAGCGATTTTGCTAGATGGTGAGGGTTTGGTGGCAACAAGTGGGAGCAGGTGTGTCTGTTCCCAAATTATCTGATCGTCTCGCCTGTAGGAAAACTTCACCCCATAGGTGAAGGTACAGCACAAGCAGACCTTCAGGGTTCCTTTGCCTTTTCTCCCAGGACCTACCAAGCTCACTAGGTCCATACGCGGGACAGTTTTTACAAGGGCAGAGAAGAGACAGAGCTCGGTGCTACTAAACAGGACAAAGAACAAACACTAAAGAGGACGTGGTAATTTCATCTCCCAGTAACTGCTGTCACTTGGTATCAACCTTATTCAGATTCAAGACACTACCAAGGGTATTACGGCATCGGCCATCAAGACATGGACATCTAAGCTGCAGAAGTTCATCTGTGATTTTAAGGGAAATTAAAGCTCCCATCTGTGTGGCACAGTGATTAATCTAGAACTAATTGAGGTACATCTACCCGCTTCAGTCAAAATCACAACTGTAGTACAGCCATACCTCACTTAACCACATTTAGCACATTCGCACCCTATTTTTGTTTTAAAGAGGAGGACAAAACTGTATGAACATACTGAGCTTTCAAATCCAGTTAACCTGCTGCACGATACCTTCTTCTAAATGTTGCAGACATTGTCGCCTCCAGAAATGAACGTTAACCTCTGTGGGCCCAGAGCACAAACACTGATGCAACCAATATTTGTTTGGAAGGATCAGAAATGTTTATAAATATGTCAAGGGGGAGTGGCAGGAGAACGGAGCCAGGCTTTTTTCAGCAGCGTCCAATGACAGGACAAGGGGCAATGGGTACCAGCTGGAACATAGGAGGTTCCACAAAAACATTATAAAAAACTTTTTTCCCTGTGAGGGTGACAGAGCCCTGGCACAGGCTGCCCAGGGAGGTTGTGGAGTCTCCTTCTCTGGAGACATTCAAAACCCGCCTGGACGCGTTCCTGTGTGACCTACTGTAGGTGATCCTGCTCTGGCAGGGGGGCTGGACTAGATGATCTTCTGAGGTCCCTTCCAACCCCTGACATTCTGTGATTCTGTGATCAGAAATCTTGATCCTTTACAAAACCTGAAGTCAGCATTGCGACAGGCATTGTAAAAGGCACTCTGTCAGAGACAGCTGGAATTGTCTTAATTGCTTTACCTCTCTTTAATTAATTTCTGCATTCACATTCTCTAAAAAGGAGTCTGGAAAAACTGCATTTACATTTGATGGAAATATTCATTAAAAATACTTAATGTACATAGCTAGCTTTAGGCACATCATTTTAAAATCTGCAATTTATATAGCAGTCCTTTTAAACATGATCTAAATATAAACAAACAACAGTGTTTAGATTTTATCATACCTTCAGTCTGACAATCTGAAAGAATTCTGTAGACATTAAGGCTTCAAAACACCTCTAATACCTACAAACTCCATTTTGCAACTGTGGAAACCATAACACAGCACAGTGAAGTGGCACAAACCAAAAAATGTCAAGTCAGAAGCTTTAAATACGATCAGTGTTAATAGAGGATGGCACCTTCTGGCCTTTTGCGTCTTAGGATCAGTAGTTAATGGACAGGCAAGGGAACACTAAGTCACGCTCACCACACTTCCAACACAACACTAAACCTGTTAATGTCCTCCTCTCTTTTGGCTGTGACTTGGGTTAGCAGTTCTCCTCCACGCTAGCAGACACGTCTGCATGCATGTCACAGCCTCCATCCTGCAGGTACTCACTACACAGCGTAGTGCATGTTCCCAGGATGTCAGTTATCCCTACGGCATCAGCAGGACTCCCCCAACCCCACCTGTCAGAAATTGCTTGCCGAGATGCGTCTGGTGAGCCAAGTCCTGGCCTCACTAGCTCCACTGCAACCCCAATCATGCTCATGGGATCCCAGCAGAGGGAGAGAAGCTCCCTTTATCCATTAACGAGAAAACAACAGCCAACACAACAGCTTGGCCAATGCAGTAGCAACAACCTGAGTTAGATTAGTTTTCCACATACAAAGCTCCCTGCCTGGCTGCTGGAGTCTCTCTGATTGCCAGCAGAGGACTTGGAAGGCATTCTGACGATAATATAAAAGACAGGCTTTTAAAGCTCAGCACGCAGGATCTACCCACTGGAAGTGGAGCAGACAGCATCTGGCCTCAGACCAATCTCAGCTGAAAACAGTTCAAACTAGTCTAATGGGGAGGCAGTCATTAGTTAGGGGTTAGTATAAGCACTCAGCAGATTACCTGCCCTTTTTTCTGGTCCAAAAACAAGTGTAAATGAAGTAGCTGAGAGACCTAGCAAGGGAAAAAAGAGAGCCATTGTGGCAACACACATAACAGCTTTGAGAATAAAGTCTATCTGAAGCGTAACTACTCAAGGCAAGACATGAGCGTGACACTGGGCACCATGTGCAGGGACTCACACACACACAAAGCAGGGACACCCACCTGTAGACTACACTTTTGAACGCAGGTTCTCCCTTCCCTGGCTTTCCCAGAGATGGAGAAACCACTCCATAACCCCAGCTAACAGGGTGTTACCTAGCAGGTGTGTTTAAAGAGTAAAGTAAATTATAAACACCATAGGCTGCCACCTCGCTCCTTGCTCTTAACCAATGCTTCCCACCGGAGAAACCCCCAGTGTCTGGCCACCTCGGTAATCCAGATTTAAGATCATTAAGAACAGAGTGCATTTATTACTAATTTAGGCACAGGATTAGGCGAGGGACACGTGGCAGTCATTTTAGTCCTGGTGACTGACAGGTCGTCCAAGAAGCAGGCTAACGCTGGGGAATTACAGCAACGAGGAGAAGTTTGCACACAGAAGCGTTATCAAGTCTGGGTGCAGGAAGGCCCCGTTAAGAGCAAAACCTTCGGCTTTATGCTCTGAGCACAGGCCTGAGTGAAGGAGGAAATTGCTTCTGCCACCATATGAACACAAATATCCTACAAGCAATATCCTTATGGCCAGGACCTGCGTGCCATGCCTAGCCTGGAACAGCTACCCGGTTTGGAGACGCCAGACACTATTAAAGACTCAAAGGGAAACCAGCTGACATTAATGTTAATGGTGGAAACTTAATTTCATCCACCCTTTTTGTTTGTGCAGTTCATTTCCTCTCCTGGGAACTATTTGTTATTGTCTCTCCCAGCCTGGTCTCTCCGTACGAATTTATTGTTTGGTTTTGCTGTCCTGGGCATTCACTGGCTGTTGTCTGCTTCTTGGAGATACCAATGAAAGAGCCAACATGAGAGATAAAGTGGAAGCAGCTACCTGGATTGTAGCTCCAACTGCGTCAGGTTTTTACTGATTTGGGAAAAACAGATTCTCAAAGACTTAGAAAGGTACATCACACCATGACAGGAACAGTTTACAAAATACTGTGAGCAGTTGTGATGCTACCTCGCATTTCAAGAAAGTCATTCCTCTTTATTGGTGTAACATGCTCAGCCGTGAGATCTTCGATTTTGGATCCCAAATGGAGATTCTTTAAAGGAAGATACTTTCAAAAGCAGTGTGCTCAGCCCTTCTGAGGTAACTCTAATGGGTCCCCAAAGGTTTCTCAAGCTGCAGCCTCTAAATCACTGCTGACGTCTGCAGCTCCTGGCCATGTTACAGACCAGGACACACAATGTGGCTGTTACAGAGACAGTCCTAAGTAGATTGGTCAGACCGGCCCTCTGATACGTAAGTGAAGAAACACTTTCCCTCCTAGCAGTGGGATCTAATCATTACAAAGAGGCTTTATCCATCTTAAAGGATACTCCCCATCTCCTGCCTTCCCCTTTCACAATTCAAGTGCAGTTCTCCACTGCCACATCAAAAAAAAAGGCAGAACCTCTTTCCCACACAAGTTTTTGCTCCAAAATCCTGCAGTAAATAGTCTCAGTTCTCATGGAAAATTAAGGATCTAAATATTGCCCTTCAGGCAGTTGGACAGGCTGCAGCAGCCAAATACCAGAAATGAATGAAAAGACGCTGTTTGACTAGAGAGGATAAAATCTAAATCATCACCACCATTTCCTTTCCAGAGCTGGTTTAAAAACCAGCAAATGCATCGGGAAACTTTCCAATAAATTTCTTGGGCTAAGGGATGCTAAACTAGCACAGCTGTTGGCCCCACCAGGGAGTGGTGAACCCAAAGGTGGAAATGGAAGCAATGATGCTGGCCCAGACAGGTGGCTGCAAGCTGAAGCAGTTTGGGATCTGCTGACGCTGCGCTCCTGAGAGTTTAGGAGGTAGATGAGCATAATGAAACCCTCCCGCTTTCGTCTGCATGCCTGGTCCTTTTTAACTGATAACCAGTGATTGCTGGCTTTGGCAGCGCTGCGAGCCATATTTCCCCACGCATGAAAAGCCCCTGGACTGTTTCTCAGACTTATTAGGCACAAACGGGCTTTTCATCGACACCAGTCATGCGTGCGTGCTCCCTCCACCTCATTTATCATCTCCTGCCAAGGCGCTGTGCCCGCTGCCAGCAGCACGCTGTGCCCCGCTCCCTTTCCTAAAAGGCAAGCTGGACCAAGGGGCAGGCGACGGGCCACAGCACCAGCTGCTGTGCAGACAGTCCCTGCCCTACACACGGGAGGGCAGAAGAGCAGAGGAAGGAACATTATCAGAAACCTCTGGGGTACCATGTTCTGTTGGCTGCGGGATGTTTTGTGCAGCTTTTTCAGCAGAGCTGAGGCTGCAGCTTGGGGATGGGCAAGTGGTTGGCAGCAGGATTTGTCCTGGGGGTGGGGAAAGACTGTATCTGGAAACCCAAGGGCTGAAAGGAAAGGGTCAGAGAGCCAGGGAGAGATTGTAAAACTGGTGATGGGAGGGGTGTAGAGACAGAGGAGGTGACAGCAGGGCTAGGCAGGGTCTTGGGCAGAGTAGCAGGGAGTAAAGAGTTGGAGACTGGGGGTAGGGCAAGGCAGCAGGTGGTGGGAGGCTCAGGGTGACGGGGGAGGGTGCTGGGAGCACGGTGACGGCGAGGGCATATGTACAGGTGCGCTGGAGGAGGCTCGTGTTGCCTCCGAGCCATGGGTACGTCTCCTCACTGCAGCCACATATGTGTCCCAGCCTCTTATACTGATGTCAAGAGAAGTTAAAAATTTACAAAATTAGGCAATTATGACGGTCCGGTTTGAGACCACAGCAAGGAGAATGAAAAGTCTCCAATAACAGAATGCTGTAATTACCTATTTTGTGGCTAATTATTGTTCAAAAAGTATCACACAGGAGCTGTAGCAGCATGTAAGGTCAAGTAAGAATTTACTGACAGCTGATCAGATAAGATACAACCTCTAGTTTCCTTAGATAATAATACTAAAAACCACACCTCTGGGAGGAGACTTTAAATGTAAATGTAAGACCACTGTAATATAATGTACTGGACAGCGGTCAAAACACACACAATCAAACTTTTGCTCTTTAAGTGCAGGTGACCAATAATTTCTTTTGGTACTTTTTTTTCCTTCATTATCTTTTTATGTAAAAGGCCTTACAGGTTTCTTAAGAGGTGTGCTAGCTGTGTTAGATGCCTGGCACTCTATGCAGTGCAGAATTGAAATAAAGACAAATATCGTGACTCTGGGTGTTTTTGGGCTCTTGTGCACCGGGTGAAGAACCCTGATTTAGGAACAACAACATCAGCAATCTGAACGGTACCAGTGAAAAGCCCTCTTACGCTCAAGCTTCCCTCTGAAGTCTCCACTGCCTGGGCAAGACCTTGCAGCTGGTGGTCAGTGGCCAGGACCTTCTGGGAGCAGGAATGGCTGAAATAGTTGGACTAATTGAAAACACACAAAAAAGCAGCAGGATTTACTGCCTGGTCATCTAATCCTGCCACTTAAGACTGACCCACTTGAAGTCTCAGCGTGTGACAGAATGACCAAGCAATGAGGACAGGATTACAGAGCCCCAAATGAGATTACGCTCCTTGGTGGGGATGCAAGCTGCTGGGTGCAAGGAAAAAAAGCTGTTGAGCACCTAGCAGGCCTAACGATACCAGATATCCAATGCTCTGTCTGCTTAGAGAGCATCAAAAATAGACTCTCTGGAGAGAGAAAACATCCAAGTGAGCCAGCTGGGCAGACTCGGGATACTTGGGACACTGACAGCTCCTCAGCCCGTAAAATGAATTGGCACGGGTTTGTGCCAGCGTTAGCACAACTGTGGCTTCAAAACAAAACAGAGGAGGAGAAGGGAGAGGGAGAAAGGAAGAGACAACCCTGTACTTGTTTAACTAAAACCGTAGGCTACTTAAGACAGAAAGGGGAGAGGGCCAGAGGTTCAGAGATGAGGAAGGTGGGCTGTGCAGTTTACAGCAGCTTAGCCTGCGGTAAATCCATAGGCAGCAGCCTGTCACACACTGATGGTGATCAGAGAGCCAGCCCCACTGTGCTGCAGGGTGGGTAAAAAGAATGAAGAGATGGGCCTTGCCCAAAGATCTTGTCCCTTAAGATAAATGACTGCAACAGATCCTATGGGAACACAAGCAGATCAGTTGCCACAGCTCAGAGAGAGAGGAGAGGACAGGGCTATGCAGTGGGAGACATGTCTCTGAGGACAGGAGCTGTTAGGTTTAAGCTCCTTTACTGAGAACAGGTCTGTACAGAGCACACCTTCAGCCCAGCATCTCACTGTGTATTTGCCACCAGAAGATGCTGACACGCAAAGTCTGAGGGTCCACGTCTTAACACAAAAGTATCTTTTCCTCACCCGTTAATCCAAGAGAGGCGAGAAATAAAACTGATCCTCATATTCACTTGCTGGGTAAAAGCCATCTTCATTCAAGGGGAGCTGCAGGAGCTCAGTGCTCCTGAATATCGGTCAGCTCTGTAGGTTCCAGTTTAACACAACCCGTTAAAGGCTTGAATGAACTTGTTCAGGGCTCGGTTTCCCATCTTCACTTAATACTTATCAGAGACCACTTGAATATCCTTAAACCTCGGTATTGGGAAAGCCAGGATAAGACTTAGAAGTAGTATTCTCTTTCTTCCCTCCCTGGAAAGTTCCCCCTAAGGACAGCACTGCAGTGGTGTCTGGCATCTGTCAACTCAAAGTGTTTTCCAGATAATTAGTCATTTAAACTTCTCTCACGCAAGGTAATCTAGCTCCGTTATACCTCCTTCTCAAGTGAGCAAGTAAGGGCATTGACAAACATTTAACAGCAGCTGAAAACCAGGGCAGGAGAAGCTGTTACCGCCCATACCTGCTTGTATCCCTCCTCTCTCGGAAACCGCTCCCTTCACAGCAGCCAGGACAGCTAAATGGAGACACGTCCACACCTGACCCATCGCACTTCACATCCTGAATACCTGAGGAACTCCAGCTCAGCACTTCTGTACTGCAACACATCAGGCTGTAAATCAAAGCCATTCAATGCTCCCTGCCCCAAACACCACAAATTCAGTCTGAGAAGGGCAAGGGACAGAAGCTTCTTTAACCGTTCCTGACTATTACTCCATGAAGGGTGTAAACGTATTGAGGGCGTGATTCCATGAGCAGCAGAGCTAACCTGTCTGCTTCCCATGACCAGAAAGGGAAGATCTTGCTTTCTGTTCCTCTGACCATACTCTTCGCAATGCAGTTCTGCCCCTTCCCTTGTACTGAGAATAATAAACAGTATTCCCTTTCTTTCTCTTTCTGGATTATCCTTCTGATAGATTAGAGATAACCTGAGGACATCCAAAGAGCTGGTGCATAAAAACCCAACGGCAGCTGGAGCATCGCTCCGTTTTGGAGGAGAAGAACTATCAGATCAGCTCACCCTGTTTCTTGGATCTGCACCCTGAGGCACACAGAAGCAAGCAACTTGCTGGAGGCTGCATGCTGGAGTGGTGATGGAAGCCAGGAGTCCTATTTTTCGTCACGTATTGAGTGTAATATAAATGTCAAAGCTGAAGCAAAGACATGAACAGTCCTTGCTTTGCTGCAAAAATCAGTCAATCCAATAACAATCCCCCCAATCTTATAAATAGATCATTTTGCCCCTCCCCAAAGTAGCGTGCAGGAAAGATTCTTCTGGTCCATTTATGGGCTGCAATATCTTAACTGTTTTCTCTCAAGTCAGGTTGGCAGATGTGCCATACAACAACACCCCAACAAGTTACAGGGCTGCTTTCTTCCAGCACTGAATGGGGATCTTCATTAATTCATGGCAAACAACGGTTTCTTTGTACCCTGGAGACTCTACTCCCCTCTACCCAGCTTCCCGCTGTCACTGGAGCCACGCTTCAAGACAGCAAGATTCTTAAGAAAAACACCAGAGAAGCAGAACTGTAGGAAGAAAAACCGTGGTGCTGACTGTTCACTCAGGTTGAAGAGCCGAGGAAGATGCTGTTGCAGTCCCGAGGTGAACAGGTTGACGCTGTGGCTACTGTTGAGCTACTTATATTCAAGAGCTACTCAAACAGGAGCCAAAGTTCCTTCGGGGTTCACACGTTTCTCACTATGTCCTAAAATCAGCTCTAGCACAGTGAGTCTGCAGGACCCTGCAGGAAGGGGCTCAGAGCAAAGGCAATCCCAGAGCCTACGTCTGTCCCGTGGTGTGACTTCTTCAGGCTTGCCTAGCGCTGCAAAAGTGTTAAGTGTGATGGAGGCATCACACAAATGTTGTTTTGTTGGGCATACAGCACACAGCTCTGCCTTAGCTCCACATTTACGGCAGGTTTCAGCCCAGGTTTGGATCAGCCAGCAGTCCCTGTGTTACCAGAGCCTCTCCACTGAAGAGCAACAGTTCAGGAGAACTGAGGCAGGCCTGACAGCCACAGCACTGTGGCAGGAAAAAGGAAGGCAATTTCTGTTTTTTCTTTGGGATGGAATACAGCTTTTGCATACCCTTGTGAACCTGCATGCACATGGCATATCCCAGGGGCACCATACTTCTATAACGTATTGTATTGGACACGTTTTATAGACTTAATGCTATTTGATCTCTTAAAGATGCATTATGCATTTTGACAGAAAGTAAGGCCAAGACATGAAAACGATGTGCCTGATGTCACATGAAAAGCATTTGACAGAGGAAAATAATTTCCTTCAACCTTGTTCATATGTTTTTCCTAATACCAGAATCCACCTTGCCCACATGCTTCTATTTTTTTGCAAAAGGAATTCTATCGATTGCATGAAAGGTGCATCTTTTATACAAGCCTTGCCCCCAAAACACAAGGGTGTAGTCACTGCACACATCCCCCTCAAGCCATGATAATCCACATCCAGAGAGCAGGACCACAAAGTGCAGTTATCAAGTCCTTGCAGCTTTTATGCCAGCAAAGAAACCCAGATAACAGCTATTTTCTGTTTCTGGCTCTAAGCCAGGAACAGAGCACAGGATACACCTCCTCAGACGAGACCACTCATACAATATCTACTCGTTCTCCAAAAGCAGCTAATGCCACTTCCCATTCATTCTTGCATAAGCACATCTCTAGAGGATTATACACCAGGTGTATTATGTGTAAGCCTTGCAGATAAAATCTGAGCCTTTGCAAACTTCAGATCACAACTGCTTTCTGTCGGTACCCAAATTATAGGTCACTAGATGCCCCAGACTTTTCAGCAATCCAGTGTAACAACTGAAAAACCGGGGTGCAGATCACCTTTCCTTTCACTGCAGAAGGTGCTGGCCAAAAAAAAATAAAATTTCTCTGTCAAGGTGTTAACAGCGTTCACCTAATGTCAGCATCTTTCATGGAAGCATTTTCTTCTGACAGTGAAAATGAAGAGCCCAGCCTGCAATGAACAGAATTGCTAACGCTGTCACCTGGTTACTGATGTAAAATATAAAATTCAACAGAGTCCTGAGGCAGACTCTGGTCTTAATTCTTCCTTTCTGACCTCCAATAGGTTCACTAGACACCACACTCAGTGTCCTTATCCCAAGAGGCACTTGTGTAGCTGGTGAATGGGAGATTGGGAGGCATGATCAAAATCAGCAAATGAATCCCTACCCTCATCATCTCTTCCCTCCACACTATGGCTGCTGTTGGCAATGGATGCAGATGAGATGCTAATTAGTCACCACCCTGGCCCACACCTTTACCTTTGAAGCTGCCATGACAGCTGCCGTGGCTGCGACGTTCAGCCCGCGCTTCCCAAAGTGCACGAGGGCATCGTAGCTCCGGTCTTTTGCCTGGACGAGGCAGTCATCGATTTCCTGTCACAGCAGACAACAAAACACACACAAAAAAGCACAAAAATGACAAGTTCAGAATCTCCCAGCCTCAAACTCTTAGCAGGACCAGGTCATCTTTTATGAAGGCAGACATCCTCCATTTCCTCCACCTTGGCTGGAGAGAAGTTTATAGCCAACATTTACAAAGAGGATTTCAGGGGAGCACACACTGGAAACTCTTTATTCTGCGAATGGAAGACTGAGACATGAAGTTGGGATACACTTGCCCACTGCAACCACCACCAGTAAGTCCTGGCAGCAGGACAGACACATCAACCTGGGCAGAGTGGACCAGGGTGTGTCAGGAGCCATTTGCCATCTGTGGACTTTAAGTACAAATTGGATTGCCCCACCAGGCAGCTGCAGCTGTACTGCCCTTGGTCCAGGACTGGTGGTCTCAGAAGTATCTGAGAAATCTCTGCACATCACTGCAGTGTCTGGGGTCATCAACAGGCTCACAGAAACAGTGAGCCCAGAGCTTCTGGACTTGGATGCTGCTCAATACACAGTGAAACGGTTATGAAAACTCCTGCCCTCACCCTCCCTCCCTCAAGACACAGAAGTCTGGCTGATAATGAACAACAATGACTTTGAGTGCTCAGCTGCTGGATGTTCTGGGTTCGTAGGGACTGGAGGCTGCGAGAAGCTGCTGGCTGCTCAGTGATTCCCTCCCTATTCTCAGTAGATAAGAGGTGGCAGCCTAAAATGCACAAGGACTATTTGTGAGAAGTCTAAGTAGAAGTTCCCAGGAAGCAGAGACATCGGGGACCAGTTCCCCACTGTCCTGCTTGGACAGGGCTGAGATACAACTGCTCCTACACCGCTTCTGGCTGAATGGAGATCCTTCACTTCCGTAGTTGCCAATGTGGGAAAGTTACTCATTTTTTAGTGGTTTGCTTGTTGATACGTGACCAACTTGGCACGCGCATCCACATGAGTCAAATGAATCTGTCTGTGAATGTCCCATTCACAGCCCCAGGAATCTCCTAGGCAGGCAAATCATTCAAGCTGAAATGGTCCCAGACACACCATGAATCTGAGCAAGACATTTCTCAACCCAGGACGTCAACACGCCACCTGCCTTACTATACTGCATGCTATACACCTTCCAGCCAGGGAAATGCTTGTTAAGCCTCTTTCAGGCAGGCTTGGCTGTTTGTCTCATTCCTGCACAAGGTTTTGGGCAGAGTTGGGAACAAAGTTAAGGAGCCCTGGCTGCTAGACCCTGTTTCTCTAATCGTTACACGCAGCCACAACATAGCACTCCAGCTATATTCAGCAAAGCAGCTCAGAAGGTATTTTTATCCCCTTCTCTCCCAGCTTCTCAAGTGCACAAAGATGAGTTAATACGAGTGTGCTGAACAGATGTCAGTATTTGAGAACACAACCACCACAAAGAACAAAAACACTAACCAAAAAGAGATGATCAAATGGTAAAGGATGATGAACAGCAACTCCCAGCCCTTTAGTGAAAATGAATGATTCAAAGACTGGAGAAAACACACTGTAGATCTGCTCTAGCCAGAGAACACCTGGGCACCTGTGATTACCTTTTCTTTTGAAGAAAGTGTTGGATGAACAAATTTCCTGTACAGGAGGCTGGAGCCTTTTGTGTATGGAGAGAGCAGCCAAGCTACAAAAGCTATTTTGAGTTCATAGTAGAATGGAAACCTAGAAGAAAAAGAGTAGTTAACGTCCACTTTCAATTCAACCACCACCCTTAAACAGAGATGCTCAGCACAGGAAGGAACCGGCCAGTCTAGCTTAGGGCAGTTACCAATCACCTAAACACATTCACTCACCTTTGCACACATTTCAATTAGGCATGCGGGTAAAACTTTACTCAGGTATCAAGGCCATTACTTAATGGTCTTGAAGAGACTCTGCTCTGTGCTAAAAGGAGCTTTCTACATTCAAAGAGCACAGATGCTGCCTTCATAGCGCGCCCAGTCATTACCATTCAAAGAGCACAGATGCTGCCTTCATAGCACGTCCAGTCATTATGAGGGAGCGAAGAGCAAACCAGCAAATCAGTATTTCATTGATATATTTATGGCCCTTTCGTCTCTCTGCCTTTCTGCTTTTAAGATAACACTTATCTGACTGAAACTGAAATACAAGAATCTTTGTTATCCAAGCAACAAGAGACACCAAGGTAGAGATCCACACTGTGGATTTTAGGTGGCATTGAAAAAACACACAGGTCACTGACTGGCAACAGGACACATGTTAGCTGTAACAACAAGCCAGGGACTTCTTGAGATGAGATTATCCCCACTGTGGTCTGGGGGACAAAGCCTAGCGCTCAAGGCTGGCTGGCTAGCAACATCCTCATGTGGGCAGGCACGTTGCTGCCAGCAGCGCGATGAACCAGCGCAACCCTTTTGTGGTTAGAGGCACGCAAGAGCAGCACAGAGACCTTGTGATGGCCGTGCACCAGCCCAGCTGAACCCAGGCAGACTCTCGCTGTGCTCGCACAGCACTGTCACTGAGCCAGCTGGGCCACACAGCAGCCAGGTCTGACCCAATGGGCCTCTGCCACACTCTGCTCTGAACATGAATTTGCCGGGTTGGTTTTCCACCTCACTGAGGATCTCTACAGCATACTTGATCTCACAGACTGGACAAGCCCTCTGTCATTCCTCCCGGGAGACCCACATAACACATCCTCCAAAAAAACAAAGCTCCAGATGAACACAGTGTAGGTGGATCTGCATGCAAATTAGATAGAGAGACAATAACATCTTTTATCTCCTTTTCAACAGTTCCGACATGTTGCCAAGTACCTCTGATTCCCTTTGTCTGGAGGACTCACTAGAGGTGTGCAGCACCTTTAACAAGCTTGAGGTGAGGGCTATGCACTACAGTTACATTTTCATCCTCAAGTCTACTGATCTCACTGGTTTCCACCAGAAAGCCCTTACTAAAAAGGGCAATCAAGCAATAAAGGTTTCCAAACTTGAGCATCCAAATTGAAGGAACTGACTCTGATAATTAGGCATTTATGTGCTTTCGTCCTGACAGAGGTCACCAGGAATCCTTCCACCGTCAGTTTGAACTGTTGCTGACCTCCATCAAACCGTAAGCCCAGAATACCCAGGAACGGGCCTGGCAAAACATCGCAGGCACAAACCATCCACAGCAACCTACAGAGTCCTGTGCTGCAGGGCTGCTTCTGCCTGATTCCTAGAGTCTGTGTATTTACTGTAGGAAACAACTACATAAGTCTAGAACTCTGCATTCAGCTAAATCAGCTGCTGTTTACGTGGTGATCTCTGCAAGCATCCAACTCAGCAATCAGCTGCGCCTCTCTCTGACAGACAGGGCACTGAGACTCCTGTAGTGATTTCTCACTAATAGGATACCACTGAGCAGTTCCATCCTTTTTCTTGCGTTTCCTGTGACAGCACTGAGAAAGGAAGCGTGGCTCCTCCACACAAACTGCCTCTATGCACCTGAAACTGCTGACCCCATGTTCAGAAGGCAGTGCACCTTTGTGCACCTTTTTCTTCACCCCTTGTAAATCTTTCCACTTTTTTTCCATCTCGTGCCAAAGACCCTCTCCCATCTGGTGCTCACCAGCAAAGAAAGATATCCGTGAACGTCTCTGCTGTCGTGAAAAGCGCAAATATGATCCAGTACATCATCCATTTGACCTGGTAAACAAAAACAGTAGCTGGGTCATTTTTCTTCAAGGGCCTCAAACTGTCTCCTACAGACAAGCGCACAGGATAACTCTCAAAAGAAAAACAGTTCTTTTTTCACCTGTTGTGTATTTAACAGTTACTACAGATTTGAAAATGCCAGAGCTACCCCCACCTCAGCACATAACACATCAGATTTCCACACAAGCCCTTGGGAAAGAAGATCGTGGCCTTTAGGACTGGTCTCATGAAAAGAGGAGCAGTGTGACTCTCTCCCTACAGAGGAAGCTCTACTAGTTAGCGGAGCACCACAGCCCTGTCATAGGGCATTAAAAAATCTCATTTGGCTCTTCATAATTCTAGAAGTTGATACTATATTTTTGGCCAAACTGCAATTATGACAGAACGTAGTTACTTACATAAGAAATACAGGCAGCGAAAACTAGCCAGCAAGAGGTAAAGATAGAACTGCCCATCCCATGAATCAGGAACACAAACAACTCACTACAACTTATTGACTCAGCGTGCAGCAGCTGAGCGGCAGATGTGTCCTCACATCCACACCCTGAGCCCATTGCAGTGACAAGTCCGTCAGCTCAAATCCCTCACCTGGGGATTAGGTGAAAGCATTTTACCTCACCCTGGTAGTGAAATCCTGTGCTGTCCCTGTGTCGCTCCACTGTTGGGCGGGCGATTTACAGACGGTCTCCTTTGTGCTGATACCGACAGACCTAGAGACCTTGGGGACTGCGACCTGGTCAGGGAAAGTGTTGTACCTCGAGCAATTCAGGAATCTGGGGATTTTTGTGACTGAGCATGAAATGGCCTTTAAAAGCACAGCTAAACTATTCTGATAGAGGCAGCATTGGCTCTTCTTGGGCTGGAAAGAAACAATGTATTTGTCACACACCACCAGCACTTGTAGTGATTCTTATCCAGTGATGTGGTGCTCCTTTTCGGTGGTTCTGTCACCACAGAGACGATGGATGTAAGGAATGATTTCCAAGTACTAGAGATAAGAGAGAAACCTTTTATTCCCTCTCAATATTTTTTTTTTCATTGTAAAAATACACATCAAAGGTCAAACAGCTGTAAGGATCTATCCGTCTTTCCAAAGGAAAAAACAACTTTTGTCTTCCCATCTTAATTTAACTGAAAATTGTTGACTAATTAGCTATATTTGAAAATGGAGATCCTTAAGCAGCTTTGCTGGAATGTTAGGAAGCTTAAGGAAGTTAAATCCACAAATTAGAGAACTGGACCATGTTACCCTAGGCTGGGATACTTGCAAGAGAGAAAGGGAAGGCTGGAAAGAAGGCAGGACTAGAGGGATGCCTACACCCGGTGCTGCTCGGGGGAAAGGAGGATGGAGGCGGCAATAAATCCGGATCTCACCAGCTCTGAAATGACTTGTTCCACTTTCTCCCTGATGCAGCGGGGACAGCACTTGTAGTCTCTCTCCACTTCCCTGCAGGAACTGAAATTATTCCCTGAGCACCTGTCACCCAGCTATATAACTGCTCCTCTGGGATTTATATTGATGCATATATTTAATGCTAGCAGTGGAATGGCACTGCCAAACGCCCAAGAACATTGTCTTCCTGGGGCAGCTCCAGCCAGAGTTTTTACATAACTGTGCCTCCCTTAAAGCCTCGCTGCCAGCAGGGTTCTGTCAGTGAAGACATTACTGGCAGCAAAACTTTGAAACACAAACCAGCACCCGGTGTACATTGGCTTGGATCACCCTAAAGCACCATTTATTCAAAAGGCTATGACCAAGCAAAATAAAAATATAAATAAAACTACAGTGAGCTAAGTTTTGACTGGGACACTAAGCGTTTGTACTCTGTCAGTGTAAATTTCTCAAGTCTTAGATTAGCTGTTCCCACATTTGAGTCATACCCCTTCGTATCTGATGTGAGTTCCTCTTTTGAAATTGAATTACCAAGAGGAACTGGACACTTGAACAAAATATTTTCCAGAGAAGGACTATGGAAATGTTTAGTATCAGTGGCAGACACTGCTTGGGGATTCTAGCACATTTCCAAGCAAAGGGAGTAAAAACCTTCAGAAGCACAGCTACGCAAGGGCTGCAGGGAGATTTTGCCTTAAGTATTTTATGCATTCTGTAACTCTTATGATTCTCAAAATATCCAAAACTATTATCTGAAGGAGGGGACTGATAGCAAGGAAAAATCTCAGCAGCCACAGTGAGTCCCAGTTTGAGCGGGCACTAAGGACTTAATGGGATACTCATCTGTGGTGTTACCCAGAGGAGAAAATGGGCGAGTTATCCCTAGAATCTTGAGAGGATTGAAGAGTCAAGATCTGGAGGCTGAGTCAGGTTCAGTGAAGTTAACAGAGCTCAGGTTGTGAAGGGCACTACAAATTCAACAGGACCCCATCAGTATCCAAGTTGTTTTGGTTCTCCTACGTTTCACTTCCCCTGATGGTCTCATATGTCTTTAGAAACTGGGGCCCAGGGAAGACTTTTCAGCAAAAGGACAAGACAGAACATCCAGCTGCCAGACCTGCCTGTAAATAGGTCGCTCCACAAGGAAGGATGTTTCTATCTGAGGATTCAGTCATATGTGCTCTGAGTTGCCTCCTCTGATGCTTGTTTTGAATGAGCAGCTAAAGCTTCAAGGCTTTTTGAAAAGGCTTTGATTGAAGCTGCTCTTCAGAAACAAAGGAAAACACGCAAAGCTCTGGGTGCCAAACACCTTTTAAGTCGGCCGTATTTAGCTTGTACCACCAGAGAAATAGCATACATTTGTCAAGGAGCACATCAAGTCTACAGAAGAGCCAGAAGCACAAACCCAAGTCCCCTAAATAAGGAGACTTGTGCCTAGCAATCAGCCAGTCCACCTCCAGGCCAATTTTCCCTTTGCATTGGTTTATGAGCTTTCTCAGAACACAGGGAACACCTTTACAAAGTGGTGAGGAGCAATCTTACAAAAGGAACCCTGACACAGCCACAAACCTCATTACTCACATATTCTTTGATGTCCTTTGATTTCACGGCTTTGTAAGAATAATACGCGGGGTAAAGAGTGCCAAATATAAGCCTGGAAAAAAACACACAAACAACAAACGGATTAAATTGATTTCCTGTCACAGGGAAAGATTTTTTTTTCCCACGTCTCTTAAATGTGTTTCTTGCACTAGTAAAAAGTGTTGGGATTTGATTTAAGCTTGAGTGCACGAAGTATAGTACAGGAGTGATTTTGCATCACTGAATTCAGAAAAACTATTGCCAGTGACACGAATGAAGAGCAGGGATTCAGGCTGGCTTTTCTTTTACAATCATTTTCACAGCTGTACCTTATGAGTTACACACAAAACAAAACAAAAAAGGCCACCACACTTTTAAAAGGAAATTAAAAATCTACTGTGACATCAGGAATATGAGAGTGTCGCATGCAGAGGCAGGACAAAATGAGAATCATTTGTCTAAAATCCTTTCCACCTCTATTCAATACTCTGAAAAGCTGCCAGAGGATAAAGCAGCACCCAGGTTCTACTGGCACAAGGGTCTGAATGCTGGAACCTTATCCTACATTAAAGAAGGAAAGAGCCCTGAATTGTTCGGTAAAATCCATTTGGGCTCATCAAAGGATGAGGTATTGCCACCAAGATAGGCCAACGGGACTAAAAATCCCAGCTCCACAGTTCTTTCAGACAGTCTCCTTTCATTTTCAAGTCTGAAGGGGATGCTGTCAGCTTCAAGGCTTCATGTAAGAAAGAAATAAGGATCCTTAAGTTAAAAATAGCACGACTGAGAAAAAACGTTGAGAAAATTTTCTCCTAACTCCTCCCTGCATCACTGCCTAGCTGCTTATTCACTTCAATTATTCCAGACATAAGCATAGGCTTGTCAAAACCCATTTTGCCCTGCCCAGGTTTCAGTCAGTTTTATTCAATGCAGTAGGATGATGCTGCAAAGTCTCAATTTAATAGATTGCAGGGCAATGTTTATTGGCTTGCAACTACCCCTCTTTCCACTGAAGCTTTTGCTTTAAATTCATACAGCTGTTTCCGCTGCTCTTGGGAATGGAAATGATCAATGTTTCAACCCCTAATTGTGGAGCCACAATGACCCGCAGTCGTCTTTTTAACCCTGCCAGTAGCGACTGTGTGCCGTGGGACTCATACAGTTGAGTCCATTACGTGCATAAGGCATTAAAAATTAACACCCTGGGATATGGTGTTCCAACGCACTTCCCGTAGCTCAAGAAGGTATTTGTAAAAGAACAGGGCGAGCCAGCACACATCTTGACTTCCAAAGCAGTGACTGAAGACAATCTGCCTGCTGTTCATCATGCTTACTGTAGCACAGCTTAGCAAAACCTGAAGCACAACGCAGACTTCAGAAAAGCAGCTACCGAGTGAGGAGATTCAGTATTAAACAGCGGCTTCACACTGGCTTCAAAAAGCTTTGCTGGAAACAATCAGCTCTGAACCTATTTCACTCACAGAGGCTGGGCTATACGCAAGGATTAGATACAAACGCTCAGATTCTGGGAAACCAAATGCATTTCTGTCCCTCGCAGTGTCTTAACAAACAGCAACACCGGTTAAGGCAAGGAAGAACACACAGACAATAGCTTGATCCTGTTCTCAGTGAAGCCAATAACAAATATCCCCTCCAAATTCAATGGCAGCAGGATCTAATCCAAAGAAGTTTGAGCTCACAAAAGGAAGAAAGCTCTGCAATACTCAGAAACTAACAGCCAAGCACATGAATAACATTTCTGGCTCTGCTTATAAAAAGTACCGCATTTCTGTCCTTCCTTCTTGGCCAGGGCTGGCTGCTGTATCATGCTTTTATTTCCTGCAAATAATCATTAAATGATTGATATTCATTTCCTCAGTTTGTGCTGCTAAAAGACAGTAACTGTATCATGAAGAAGCAAAGAGTTTACAGGATCACTAGAAAAGAATTAGTTGCAGACAATAAAGACTTGAAAAAAAAAATCCTGTGAGGGAAGGAATCCATGCGATATTTTTGCATAGGCAGAGCAAGAGACAGTTAATAAGGTGTTGTGCTCTCCCTAAATTGGAGATTGAGAGTTTCACTGAATTGCCTTGTAGCACGTTGTGTGCATATATGGACATTTATTACTGCTATGGTTTACTCAGCCAAAAAGAGTTTTAAGGAATGTTGGATCCCAGTATTGTCACTGCTGTAGCTTGCTCTGTGGCTCAGAGTAACTTAATCTCTGGGTACACCCTACAAATGGAAGATAACAGACATTCAGGCATTTCTGCAAAGCATGTTCAGGGTTTGAGACAAACACCTGAACACAACGGGCATATTCCAGTCTTCACCGGGCTTTGGATCAGACTTGAATAGAATTGATTTAACTCAGACACACACATCAATCTTCTACCTCTTCCCTCAGTTCTTCTTACCTGCTGAAGACAATACTTCTCTCTTCCCCTCATCCAAAGTTCCTGTGTAATTTAGCATTGATTCCCACCTTCCTTCATCCCTACGCTCAGACTGTTGCTAAACCACTCCTCCTGCACACCATCCACAAAAACAAGGCTAATTCTTTGTCCCTCCGCCCAAGCCAGTGAGTCATTCCTTGCTCAAGCCTCCTTGCCAGCCTCTCTTGTGTGCTTTACCGATCTCTATCCCTCCTGGATGCATCAATGTCTAAAACTCTGTCCCCTGCCTCTCATACACACATGCACACACACACACAGTGGCTACCCTTGCCCACCAAGCTGAAGTAATATTCTTATATTTGCCTTCCAGTGCCTGAGAAATGCTGCTCTTACCTCTTGTTGGTTTGGTCTTTTATCACATCGCACCTCAGTCCCTTCTCTCTTTTAATGGCTGTAGTGCTACCAGCTTCCTACTCTGCTGTTCTTTGCTTTCTCCCACACCCTGGAGCTCCCGCGCTCCTTGCTTCTCTGTTGCGTGTCAGCCCAGCGCCTCTACAACAAGCTGTTCCCTGACAGACCACCGTTTGAGAGGTGGCAGTCCAAGCCACACAGACTCCAGCACTAGCACAGGCTGCCCAGGGAGGCTGTGGAGTCTTCTTCCTTGGAGACATTCAAAACCCGCCTGGACACGTTCCTGTGTGACCTACTGTAGGTGATCCTGCTCTGGCAGGGGGGCTGGACTAGATGATCTTTTGAGGTCCCTTCCAACTCCTGGCATTCTGTGATTCTGTGATTCCCTAGTTCAACCTCACCTTTAATTTTCTTCTGCAACACTCCAGTTCTACCTGCTGTTCTCTCACACCTGCTGTTCTCTTCAGCTTTCCTCACGTATCCCCAGAATTGCAGCACAGACTCTCAGATCCCACCCACAACCGCCTGCTGACCTGGGAACCACAGGTGCTGACTCTTTCCATGGTACCTGCATTGGCTGCCTGACTAGTGTCGGCCAGCTGGCAAGCCAAAATAACGACCTGCCTATAGACTTAAGACTTCAGCTTTTACCTCCTGGCGGACACTGCTATGAGACAATCTCCTATCAGCAGTTAATTCTTAAGAATCATGTAGAAACTTAATGTTTGAGACTTCTCTGATGCATCTATTTTGGCCACAATCACTCGGAGGATCCAAAAACTAAGAGCGGTGGAAAATCAGACTGCTTAAGACTCATTTCCTTAGGAAACCAGGCTACAAAGTCAGAGTCAACCCATTTCCCACCCATTTCCATCTTTCAAAGCTCCTTTGAATGAGCTATGGGCCCTGAAAAGCCTTGGTCTTTTGCCCTCTGTGCAGAAGCAGAGGCAGACATCCTGATCAGCAAACCAGGGACTCCCAGAGCTTCACGTAGTAGTTACTACATTTAAAGCTTCGAAGATGTGTTCCCATTGGCTGGGCTAAAACAAATACACACCCTCAGGGTACAGGGAAAAACAAGGAAGTGGTGACATTCATCAGTGAGTTCAGTAAAGCTCACATGCAGCACTAAACAAATAACCACAATAGTTTTACAATTCTTACACAGCTTCATGCTGGAGGTCTTCATCAATTACCACCGCCTTGGAAGAGGACAAAACCGCAGCTTTAAAGAAATCACTGAAAGTCAACTAATGGTGCAACAGGAGGCAAAAATCTAAGTAAAAGGTTAGTCTGCCTAAAGAACAGGATAAGGATTAATGCTGAAAATCTTATAATCCTATTAGGCACGTGAGCAGCAGCAATCCCCAGTCTGGACCGTTACGGGTGCTTCCGGTCATTCTTTGTCGAAAGGGACACAGCAGAGGCAGAAGGGGAAAGGAAAAGGGCAATGAGAGCATGGAAGTGCGCTGGGAAACATCCATGGGAGGGACCGTAAAAAACACAGTTGTTTCTCTTGCAGCAAAGACAGATAACTGAGGTTATTTACTCCTACTTCCGATGCAGCGTTAGGAAATACTCAACTGAATCAAGAGAACAAAGTCAAAAAGGAGGAGTTAATCTGTGGAACTGAATAACTGTACTTATTTATATAACTGCATTACACAGGATTCGGTGTTAGGTATTCAGTATTCAAGTTTACAACTAAATGCAACAGGAAAGGACGCAGCTTCCCATACTGTGGGGTTTCCTGATTATCAGAGGAATATTAGAGCAACTGAACTGTTGGTTCCTCTGTAGCAATCTCTGTCACATTCCTGGGAAGCAGCTGCACCATCACCAAACCTCCTTCTGTCTCCACTTACCAGTACAGCCACAGTCAGCTCTGGCTATTATATCCTTCCATTCCTTCTCCAGATCTGCTAGCACAGTGATCTGAGTGTCACAGAGCATGGGCTAACCCAGATGTGACAGTATTCCTAACAGTATCTCAGTTATGGCCTGAGGATCAGCATCAGAACTGCTACTAGAACCTGGGAGAGCCCTATGTGATGTCTTGAGTTCTGATGATTTAGTGATGTTATTTTCCTCATGGGGGGCCTGGTCCTACAGACATTATCTGTAAAATTAATTCGCATATTCCGTACAGCAGCCACTGAAATAAATGGAACGACTCTCAGCAATTTTCAGGAGTACTGGCCAACACCCGGTTACCATCAGAAATGCCTGCAAATCCGTTCTCTTCAGTATTTTTAATCACACA